TGCTGAGAGGGTGGAGAAGACAAGGGGGTGGCGGGTTCTGGAAAAAGGCAGCCTTGTGATTGGCCCTGACAAGGTGAAAGAGGAATAGCTTTAAGTACATTTGGGAAAGAGCAAGTCACTCGGTTGGAGCTTGGGAAGGAGATGTGGTTAGAAAGATGGTTTCTTTATCCAACGTTGTTGAGCATCTACTCTGTGCCAGGCATTTGGGTTGTAGAGAGAGAAAGAAGACTGTGATGGGCAACCTCTGGCCCTCATGGAGCTTTCTGGTGGTACAGGGGACAACTTACTGATCAAACACATCTGTAACAAAATGACATCAAAGTACGGAAAGTGCCACATGGAAATGAAACTCCGGTGGTGGAACTAGTTCCACAGCAGAGCCAGGCTACTATGGACAGGTGCTTGGGCAAGCATGCCCAAGGAGGTAATGTAGGATCTCTCAGGTGCAATGGGGTAAGTCACAGAAGACAAGGGAGGAACAAGCATAGAGCACTGCAAGTGCAAATGCTTGGAGGGTCTTCAGATGGCCAGAACCCAGGGGCACAAGCCAAAGGGACCTGATACAAGATATCATCTTTCCTCAAGGCCCTTGAAGCAAGAAAAGAGGCTGGAATTTCACTGCATCTGAAAAGAAAGGTGCCGAAGGAGTTAAGTGAAGAGGTGGTTTGAATTTGAGCTGCCTAATGAGGGATGGATCAGACGGACTCAAGGGCAAAGTGTAACAGGGGACTTGTGGATGAACTGAAGAGGCAGTGGCGGGGGAGGGAGTAAGTCAATTGGTGGTGCAACTCAGTAATAGAAACGACTGGACTTGCTGGTACGAGAATGGAGTACCAGGTAGGGGAAGGAACCAAGGCACTATTCGAGGCATAAGGGGAATCAAGGCTCTGACAGGGCAAGGAAGCATCATTTACTGAGGCAGAATGATTGCTGCTGTGTGGAATCACAGACTCGACTTGAATCTGCCTGAACAACCAATAAGAAAAGTTCTCAAGTAGACAGTGAGCTCAGAGGAAGTCTGCAGCTGGTGGCAGGAAGTACAGAGTTGTCCACACACTGTTGTGTACAGCCATGGGGATGAAAGAGGTCTTCAAGGGAGCGAGTGTAGACAGAAGGTGAATGTGAGGCCAAGCCCCGAGAAACTGACGTGACGAGGGGGCCTGAGAAGTGATGAGGAGGAAGGCGAATCAGAGAAGCTGGAAGAACATCAGGCTCAGGTGGGGCCAGCGTGGATTGTATCAACGGTGCAGAGAAGTCCCGTGAGATAAAGATAATGGAGTGGTCATAGGACCAGAGAGCATGGCGTCCTCAGCAGCTTTGGACAGAGCAGATCTGTGATGGTGGGTCTGGGAGCCAGAGTGGCATGAGCTAAAAAATGAAATGCAGATAATTCTCAAAAGCTTTACTGTGAAGAAAAATGAATGGATTAAGATAAAAACTGGAAGGCAGGGGAAATGTTGAGGCCAAGGGGCTTCAGGTTTTAAGTTGAGAGATACTAAATATTTGAACACTGCTGGAACTGGTCCTGCAAGAGGAAGTGGTGAATAATTTATGCAAGAGACAAAGAGGCTAGCTGAATGAGCAGAGTCCATGGGTAGGCAGGCTGGGATGGTGGATTCATTAAAAAATAAAATAAAATCTCAGGCTAGCCCTGAATTCCCTATGTAGCTGATAATGACTTTGAACTTTTGATCCTCCTGCCTCCACCTCCCAAGCACTGGGATTACAGGCCAGTACCATCACACCAGCATCCACCAGTGCTCTGTGCCTGCTGGATAAGAGTTCTACCAAATGAGCTACACCCCCAGCCCGTGGAATTCGTTGTGTATTATAGCTGTAGCAGACTTGGTGGCTTAAAAAAATAAAATCACTGTCTAACAATTCCAGAGGTCAGAAGTCCAAAATTGGTTTCAAATCCTTGGACTAACTTATTAGGAAGGCCAAAGGTCCTGGAGATCCATTCCCTTGTGTTTTCTAGCTTCTAAAATTGCACTCCTGGCTCAGAGCCCCTTCCTCCATCTTCTAAGCCAGCAGCCCAGCAGCTTCAGTTCTTTCTGCTTTTGCTACACAGCCTCTTCTCTGCAGTCTAATTCTCCTGCTCTGTTTAATAGGGGGCATTTGGGGTCATATTTAGGGTCCATCCAGGTACTTCAGGGCAATCTTCCCATCTCAAGATCCTTCATGTAATCAAGTGTAGACGAAGAATAAAGTAACATTAAGAGATTTTTAGGAATGAGGGCCTGGTTATCTGTGGGGATCTTATTCTAGGGGAACACTTGGTTTTCTTTTGTAAATAGAGAGGATGGTGGGATGGAAGTGTTTGTTCATGGGTGTCCAGTCTTGGCAGTGGGAAGACAAGGGTGTCCAGGCTGTAGGCTTCACTTTTCGGAGTTTAGGATGAGGCAAAGTTGACAGCTGAAAGGGATGGCAACTGAGGAAGGTGGGGGATGGGACAGAGGGAAACAGAAACTTTGGAAGTATCCAGAAGATGGGATATCAGCTGTCTAGGGAAATATAGTCAGTTTCAGGGCAGGATGAGTTATTGAAGGCCTCCATGAAAACTAAAACAAAGTGCTGTTGATTGTGCAATTTTTCTCCAGCTCAGTTTGACTGCACTGCTAAGGGCATAGGGAAAGGGGAGGGACCAGGCTCAGTAGCATTTCTGGGGAGTGTGGCAAGGGAAGGATGCGGTAAGTGAAGGATGAGAATCCATGGGATCTGACTTGGTCAAGAGGCGGTAGGAAAATGTCAAGGGAAGATGCAGCAGTCTGGCAGACTGTGAGAAAATGGTGGCCTTGGTCACCAAGAGGTCATGATGAGGGCATTCAGCAGGAAAGGGTCTCTAGAGAAAGTGAACCGGAAGTTGAGGAGGACTAGTCAGAGTGGGATGCCTTCTGTGTTAATCAGCTTTTATCATTGTGATAAATACCTGAGATGATCAATATTACCAAGTAAAAAATGCTTTGGCTCACAGCTTTGGAGGTTATGGGCCTAGTGCTTTTGGGCCTTTCAGGTGGGAGTACCAGGGAGAGCAAAACTGCTCACCTTCTTACCTCAGAAGCCAGAGAACAAGAGGGAAGGGGGATCCACTCTGAGACTATACCTCCAGCGATCTTAAAGCCACCCACTAGACCCCCACCCCCATAGTGGCACCCTGAAGACCAGCTCTCCAACATATGGATTCTTAGGGGACATTCAAGACCCAAATCACAGCATCTTTACTCAGATATTTTTAAGAAAGTACATTTTCTGAACTTCTTTTTATGAGGGATTTAATAATGAAAAGATGATGAGCTATTTAGTTAGATGGCAAAATCACCAGGAATGAAGATAACAGTGAGTGACCAGGAATTCTGTTAGCCAGGAAGGAACCACAGTCTTCAGTGACCTAAGCGAAGTGACCTGAAAGAATGGTAAGCTGGAAGGGCAGAGGGAACCACACTCAACGAGATCAATTTAACAGGAAGTGAGGTTCTGTAGAAGGAAGGAGCAATGCGGGACAAGGAACAAATTTGCCTTTCTTCTTGACTCTGAGAAGACTCCCGAGTGAAGACTCCCAGAGCTCTGTTCTATTCAGACGAAAAGACGTTGATGCAAAGAAGTCCTCTAAGAAGATGTTACGTGGTGAGCCTTTGTTGGAATTTCTCCACACCACAGAAGAGTTTGGGAAATGAGGCACTGAGGAATGTAAAGATTCAAGTCTGACCAGGACAGGTTATTGGACAGGAGCCTTGGATGTCTAGCCACAAGTGAGTTTCAAACATGAGGCATGATGAAACCACATCACCAGAGGCCTTGAATGGCAGATAAGGAATTTCCATTTTACTCTCTGTATGCCAAGGCCACCCGAGGCTATGGTGGTGAGCTGGTCTAAGTTCAAGCAGCAATCTATCACGGTCAAAGACATGTGAGCAAAGGAAATTCTGAGAAATCTCCTGCAACAGGCAAGCTTAGGCCTGTCTAGGATGTGGACACTGAGGAAGATGGGTAGAAATACTGTTTTTGAGAAATGTGCTTGCTTTGAATTTGAAGACAGGAAGAGGAGGCAAGCAAGAGATACCACCTATATTTCAGCTTAAGTGGTTGCAAGAATAGAGTTTGGAAGGAAATCAGTGGGTTTGGTGTTTGGCAAACCATGGTTAAGGTTCCCAGGCGATTGAACCCCACTGATATTATCCAGGGATAAATGTTTCCGGTTTGGGGGGTGGTGTGAGGCTAATTAAGGATCAGGTGATTCTCTTTAATTTAGCTTCAGGTCCTCAGGGCAGGGCTAGGAGCTTGGATTGCCACCTGCCATAAAATGTGCGTGCAGGTGTTGTTCAGAGCCTCAGCCCAGGCAATAGCGCTGTCATTCCCAAGGTCAGTTCAGCCAGAGTAGCTGTTATCATTCATTTTTGTAACCGGGATGAGTTAGGACACAACAGGACACCAGCCAGTGCTGGGAAGAGACTCTTGTCCCAAGGAGGCCCCTTCCAGGACCTTTCCTTTTCGTAATGAGTTAAGGCAGGGCTGGATAACAGGTGCTCTCGGGAAGTGGTTTCATCACACCCCTGAGATCAGGCCTCCGAATCACAGTTCAGGTCTGGCCAAGAATCTGATTCATATAAGTGCAAACCCCACCCATTCTTGCAATTTCCTCCATTCTGCTGACAGCAGCTCAATTTGGGTCTGGAATCCCCGGGTCTTCTCCAGTGTTTAGGTCAACCAAGGAGGTTGCCACTGCCCCTAGGCTACTCTTCGTTCCTTCGTGAGTGCTCATGGTGGCTGGGGGGCTGGGGGAGGGGAGGCTGGTGAGAGGCTTGGGACGGGGAAGGGGCCCGCGGGGTGAATGGTCCCGGGATAGGGCTGGAGGTCACGTAAGGAGGATGTCAGGATACCAGTGACTTCCTACCAGTAGCTTCCAGCAGGACGCAACAAGATAGGCGGGCAGTGCGGGACCGCCGGGCGCGGGGCTTGGCGATTAGGGGCGGAGCTAGGCGGACGGGGCGGAGCGTGGGTGGGCGTGGGCGGGGCCTAGCGGGAGGCGGTCTGTGGAGGGGACCGGCAGCCGGGGCGAGAGCGCGCCAGCCCCGCCGCGATGCCCCCGCGCCCAGGACGCCTCCTGCCGCCGCTGGCCAGGCTACCGGCCCTGGCCGCGCTCCTGCTGCTGCTCGGCCCGGGCGGCGGCGGGCGCTGGAGGGCCCGGGCCCAGGAACCGGCAGCCGACGCTTCCCCCGCGGCGGACGGCGGGGCGGAGCAGGACCCGCACGCCAAGCACCTGTACACGGCCGACATGTTCACGCACGGGATCCAGAGCGCCGCGCACTTCGTCATGTTCTTCGCGCCCTGGTAACGCGGCCCCGCAGGCCGCTCGGCCCCGGCTCCGCTCTGCTCAGGCTGTGCGGCCCCGGCCAGGCGGCGGGGACTCAGGGCTCGGTCGGGATCGGGAGCACGCGTCGGGGCCCCGCAGGCTCCGCCGGGGGCGTGGGCCGCCCTCGGCCGCTGACGTGGCGCTGACCGGGCCGCGCGCGAGAAGGGGGCGGTCCCCGAGGGGAGGCCCGGAAAGGCCGCTCCGCCCCGCGCGCGCTCCCGGGTCCCCTGAAGGGTAGGGCAAGGCAGGGCTGTCACCCACCCGTCTAAGCTGCTGGAGCCCAGACGTCACCCCTGCGTCCCCGGCCCAGCTCCCCAAACTTCCTGTGCGGGCCGGACGCGGCAGGAGCCCAGCGGCCACGTGCCCTGGCCTGGAGCGTCCTTCCTGCTGAACCCCTGCCCACCCGCCAGACCCCTAAGACATAGGCCCATCTCTTTGATGAGGGTTGAATTGAAAAACTAAGACCTCACCAAGATACGAGGTCCCACTTTGTGTGTATTTTGGGAAGAGGTAGCCCAGGCTAGGATGGAGGGATGGGTTCCTCCACTTGGGAAGGCAGGAAAAGTGCCGGTTCTGGGGACCCCCTGCTGCAGATCGGAGTGGATGTGGGCTGTATTGTCTGTTGCAGGCCCATAACTTAAGGCTGTCCACTGCCACCACCTCCTAGTCGCTGCTCACTTGGGGCTGGGTCACTTGGAAAGTGAGATGGGGCTGTCCGCAGGGAACAGTCATGCCTCCTACTTCCATTGTCTGGTTGGGGCTCCTGTACCCCAGGAGTTATCCCAGACACAGTTAGTGCAGTGCTTTCCTGCTCCCGGCCTAACTGCCCCGAGGGAGCGTTCGCATGGGCCAGAGCCCAGAGTGGGATCTTAGGGCACAAGCAGTTTGAGATGTGGGTGTGTGCTGACTGCTTATTGTAGAGCTTGGTGTTCTTCCGTAGCTCAGCAGGGACTCTTTAGGGAAGGGTGAAAGAGCTGAGAGAATGTTTCTGTGGACCCCATTTATGCAGTAACTGCCTTTCAAAATAGGGGAAACTTGACTCTTAACTGTATGTATTTCAGTTCATTTGGGGTTAAGTTTTGGGTGTCAGTTTGACTCAAACCCATTATCTATTACGAATGCATGAATAGACTTTTAAGTTCCCAAGAACTGACTTGAATCTGTAGAACTACCAATAGTAGAGAAAATACTGGTAGTCCAAAACAGCCAGCCTTAACAGTTACTCTGTGCAGGAGTATTCTCATAGAATTTGTTTCAATTAAGTACAAGTGACTTAATTGGGGCCAATTTCAGTGGAATAAATTTCAATGGAGTTTTCCTTTTATAAGTTAAATTGACATGCAGACATAGTAAGCTGCCTTCAGTGACAGTTTTAATTTTGGAATATTTCCATAAATACCAGCTCGTCTTGGCCATCATACTGGTATTATGTAAATTCCTTTTTCTCACTGTATTTGGCTTGTAGACATCTACAGAGATGTGTCTTCCCTAACTAAGCCCTTAGTTGTTTGCTTATTTGTAGTCTGCTAAAAATTTTAGAGATAATTTGGACTCTTACCATGGCTATAGAACTCACTATGTAGACCAGGCTGGCCTCGATCTCACAGAGGTCCTCCGCCTCTGCCTCCCGAGTGCTGGGATTAAAGGCGTGTATCATCATGCCAGACTGAAAGTTAGATTTTTTTTTTTTTTTTGGAGGAGAGATTGAGATAGTTATGTAGACCGACTCGTGATCCTCTCGCCTCAGCCTCTGGAGTACTAAGATTAGAAAGTTAGACTTCTAAGAGCAATGTGGGGGTCAAGATAGAACATACCCTTCCCTACTTTTTCCCAGTATCAATGCCTGGAATATTGGATGCCTGCACATGATTTGGGGGCAAGGACGCTACCTAATGAAAATACTACTGTGTGTGTGCGTGGGTGTTTATCCTGGAATTGGTGGTACAGGGTTGTCCACATTTGTTCTGTTGGCAGTTTGTGGGTCACACTGACCTGGGAACGGTGAGGTCAAAATCAAAGCCTTTGCCCTGTCCTTTGGCCCCAGGCCACCTTAGAATGCAACTTGCTGTCTCAGAGGTGCTGTAGTCACAAGGGCTCCAAACCATAATTGCCAACTGATGGCACCCGTGGATTCATCACTGCTCTTAGGTGGGGAGGAGTAAGAAAACTTGACAAGGATGCAGAGGATGTGTGGAATTCTAAAATATGCTTATCTGATCAAACCCCTAGAGGCAGAACTGCCCTTGGAAATCTCTTATGGTGGTGGCCTGGAGGAGACTACCCCTCAGGTACACAGCAAGTCCTCCCAGCCAGGGTCTGCTCTAGCATTAGAACCCATCATGCTTTCTTTGGTTAAGTATCAGACAGATTAGTTGTCAGATCTCTGTCTTCAGACAGCAGAATCACACATGTGTAAGAGGCTCATGCCACAAGGAACATACGGGAACTGGGGCCACACTCCCCCTTTTACACACTTCAGGGCCTTTGGGCCTTGGATTTTGTTTTGTTTTTATCCTTTCTTCCCCAACTCATCATCTTGATAAGCTCATACACATTGTTGAATTCATGGAAATTCAACAAATACAGTTTCACTGTGTGGGTTTTTCACCCTATTCATCCAGTTAGGAAATTGTCAAACACTTTATACAAACCAAGTATGTGCTGGGTTGGGGACAGGACAGTGCATGTTATCTTTGCACTTGTACCAAATATATAATAAAGAACACCAATGACCTTCCAGAAAAAGGGAATGATACTGTTTTAGGCTTTTATGAAGCAGGGATTCTTGTGGCTGCCCAAGAAAGTGCTGCTGGAAGACACATTAGCTCGAAGCAGGCTTTTCTATGCTCCCTGTGGATGTCTGTCTGGGAGGTCAGCCCATCTGTCGGCAAAGAGGCTTAACACATATTTTGTTAAGAAAGTATCTTGAGGAAGAACTCATAATTATCGGTGCCTGTTACTCTTGTAAGCAAGCACTTTTTAAAGGACCACTTTAAAGGGTGATGCACAAGTGGTTACATTGTAGACATGAGGAACAGTTGTCCTGTGTCAGATGCTGTGTGACTGCACTTGAAGCTTGGGTACTGTTTCTGGTGTTATCTCATTCAGAAGTATGGTCCAGCATAGAGTTGAGCGGGCAAGGTGGTCGCCAACCATGCTGTTCAGATCTAATGATGAGAACGGTGCTGATGCTGTAAGTGCAGTGTGAAAAGAGGTCAGAAGCTACAGTCCTGCCGGCATTATTTTAAATGATAAATGGTTTAAAAATATTTCTACATAGCTGAACTCAAGCAGTGAGCACCAGACATTTGATTATATCCACCCTAGATGTTTGGGTTGCTACAAACTCTTCTTTAAAAAATTTATTTTGGGGGGCTGGGAATGTAGCTTAGTTGGTAGAATGCTTGCCTAGCATTCATGAAGCTTTGGGTTTGATCCCCAGAACCATATAGGTGGATGTGGTGGTGCACATTTGTAACCCCATCACTTGGAAGGTAGAGGCAAGTTCAAGGACATCCTTAGCTATGTAGCAAATTCAAGGCTAGCCTGGGATACATGAGACTGTGTCTAAATAAATAAATTGAAAAACAATAGGGCAGGGAAGATGGCTTAGTGAGTAAAGTGAGTATTGGCTGCTCTTGCAGAGGATCCAAGTTTGGTTCCCAGCACCCACATGGTGACTGTCCCTAACTCCAGTTCCAGGGGACCTGACACCCTCTTTTGGCCTCTTCAGACATTTCGTGACACAGGTGCACTTACACACATGCAGGCAAAACACTCATGCAAGTAAAATATAAATAAATTTAAATAAGTGATTGGAGAAGATGCAGAATTGATTGAGTTTTGAGGATGCCTTGCATGTGTGTGCATTTGGTTATATAGTAGAGGAGACTTGTTCTTTTAAGGCAGCAATTGCAGCCAGAGTGCTGAGCTGCTGCCTTAGAGGGAGAGCAGGGAAGATTTCCAGAAGAGAAGAGAATGGGTGCCAAGGAGCTTAGGAGTCAGGGAAGACTTGGAGGAAGTGACACCCAATCTACATTTGAAGAGCAAATAGAAATTAGCCAGGTGGAGTTTAGAGAGAAAGTGTTAGGAGGCTGTATACCTTGAGCAGGGGAAGCCAAGCTATTGTCAGAAAGTTGTAAACACTGCTGTAGAACCCAGAGGCCAACTGGGAGACAGGGAGGTGGGTTCTTGCATACAGGTCACAAAGGGAGACCAGGGGCAGTGCCCTGTTAAATTTTGATTTGGTGCTGAGAAGGGTGTCCTTGTGCAGGATCCATGTGCTGCAGAGAAAAGAAAAGGTGGGAGTCAAGGACCGATGGAGAGGGTGAAGTGGTGCCTGGGACCTGACCGCCAGTCTGCTCCTCCCCTTGCCTCACTGCAGGTGTGGACACTGCCAGCGACTGCAGCCAACTTGGAATGACCTGGGAGACAAGTACAACAGTATGGAGGATGCCAAGGTGTACGTGGCGAAGGTGGACTGCACAGCTGACTCTGAGGTGTGCTCTGCCCAGGGTGTGCGAGGATACCCCACGTAAGTAGGAAGGGAGGGTGCATGCATCCTAGATTGTTTGTTGTTGCTCTCTGCAGGCAAGGAACATCCAAGTTGAACTTCTGGTAACTTCCTTTGTAGATCTGAGGAGCCAGGGAGCTGGATGTAAGCAGGTGGTCCCTGCCTTTAGGGCACAATGATATTTAGCACTATTTTAGATCCCTTTTGTGCTTTGCCTGGAAAAAGCCTTTAATTAGTTAGTGTTTGCACAGGATGTAGTGAGGTCTGCCTGAGATCCAGCCCCATATACAGTGCATTTCATACAGCCTGCTCAGACTCTGTCACCTGTGTCGGTTTGAATTTTTAGTTTGAGCTCTTATTACTGTTCCTCCTCCTCCTCCTCCCCCCCCCTCCCTCCTCCCCCCTTCTTCAGCAATAGGTTACTATCAAGTTCTCGTGGGTAACCTAGAGCAGGGATATGGTCAGTATTGTTTTCCCCCCTCCCCCCTCTCCCCCTTTCTACTGTTAGGTATCATACAACTAGCATAAGGTCTGTTTCTGTTGGAAAGGAGGGCAACAAATGAGAGTACAGGAGTTCTCACAGCAGTGCCTCTTACTCCCTTAACAGGGAGTGTTTTGATTTTATGAAACAAATTATAACTGGCTTCTACAGTCCTGATTAGCGACCCCCCAAAATCCCAAGTGTTGAAGGCTTGGTCAGCAGCCTGTGGGGCTGTGGGAGGTTGTAGGACTGTTAGGGGTGGGGCCTGGTGGGAAGAAGTTAGCTCACTGAGGGTGTGTCCTGGAAGGGGATATTGTGGTCTTGTTCTTTTTGTGTGTTCCTGTCCTCAGAGGGGAGGCTCTTGTTCTACCATATGCTCCCAGCCATCAAGCTCTGTCTTGCTACAGACCAAGGCAGTGAATCCAAGCATCCTGTGGCCCCAAATCTCCAAAACCGGGAACCAAAAATAAGCCGTTTCTCTTTATGGGCTGATTATCCCAGGAACTTGTTAGAGCAATGGAAAGCTGACTGTCAAACTTCCTAAGTAAAAGAGGATGTCTTAGTCCATTTTCTGTTGCTGTAACTGAGTAACAGAGTAGATAGATTACACAGGGAATAAAGGTGTATTCGACCCCCCAGTTCAGGAGGGTCAAGGTTGTTGGGCTACATGTGGCGAAGGGCACCTTGCTGGTACACAGGGCATCACATGGCAAGATGACAAGCTTTGGTCTTTCTTCCTCTTGTAAAACCACTAATGCAGTCACTGCGGCCTATTATGACTTCATCTAATCTTAATTCCTTCTTTTTTATCATATGATTTTTTTTTTTTTTTAGTTTTTGAGTATTTCATAGGAGTATTGTATTTGCATCATTTCCACCCTTTCTAGCCCCCTCCAAACCCTCCTGTGCCCGCCCCCAACATACTCCCTCTCAATTTCTTGTCCTCTGATTATTATTGTTCCTGTGCTAGATAGCTTCAGTTGTCAACTTGACACATCTGGGTAGAGGAATCGCCTCTGTTCATTTGGCCTGTGGCCATATCTATGAGGCATTTTCTTGATTGTTGAGTGATGTGGGAGGGCCCAGCCCATTGTGGGCTGTGCTACTCCTGGGCAGGTGGTCCTGTGCTGTATAAGAAAGCAGGCTGAGCGTAGGCCAGAGGAGCAAGCCAGTAAGCAGTGTTCCTTTGTGGTCTGTGCTTCAGCTCCTGCCTACAGGTTCCTGCCCTGAGTCCCTGCCCTGACAGTGATGAACTGTGACCTGGGAGATGTAAGATAAAACAAATCCTTTCCTCTCTGAGTATATTTTGGTTAACAGTGTTTTTATCACAGCAGTAGAAAGTAACCAGAACAATTATATATACATACATTTGTACATATACACATACATATAAATGACTGAATTCCAGGTAGTGGTACTCTTTTGTATATGTGTTTAGGGCTGCCCACTTGGCATTAGATAACCTATCAGGGAGCTTGTCCTTGGAGAAAACTGATTCTCCCTTCCTCAGCATCCATTGATTACCTATAGCTCTTCATCTAGAGGTGGAACCCTATGAAATTTCCTAATCGATTCCTAAAGATCTCACCTTGTCCCACTTCTCAGCACCTCACAATGGAATTTAAATATAACGTGGATTTGGGTGGGAACATTGAAATTATAGCAAAGGATATATTAAAAGGCCTTTAGGGAAAGCTCAAAGATTCTGGCCAGTGGTCTTGGGGGCTGTTTCTACTGCATCTGCTTTGAGGAGGCTGAACTTTTCATCTTAGACTCTCTTCATTCCTGAGTGGACCTGCTTGGTGGAACCTTCCAGAAACAGCCATGTGGTACAGATGCAAGGTCTCATAGAAAATAGCATCCTCATTCAGACTGAATCACCAGTGTGGGAGGGAAAAGCAGTTTACCAGAGGGGGAAGATACTGTCCCACAGTAGGAGGAGGATTGGTTACTGTGACTCCCAAGTTGTTGTTACAGTTGAGGTACCAAGTCAAGACTGAACAATATACAGGGCCAGGAGTGTACGTTAAGTAGGAAGTCTGAACTTATGTCCAGTCCTGAGAGGCAGTGAAGGAAGATAGAGGGAGCCCTGGGCTTGAACTTTGAAGCCACAGTGAAATCCCAGCTCTACCGTTGATGATTATGCAGCACTGGCCATGTCGCTTACTCTCAGAGTCTCAGGGTAATGATGACAGTGCCCTCCTTCCACCTCACCTTCCCGTTAGCACAGGAGTTCAATGCAGTTCTTTTACATTTGGAGTTTGGCATTTCTATGAAATACCCTGGAACTCTGATTGCCTGCTGATCTAGGCACCACAGTTCAGGCCTGCATCACATCAGATCACTAGAGAGAAAAATCTAGCATGTGTACCTAATTAACAGCACTCACTGCCTTGTGCTTCACAGATTGTCCTTAATGTGAACTAGGAGGCTGGGGATGTGGCTTAGTTTAACATCATGTGCTATTAAAGAGAAGAAAAGCTCAGGGTCCTGGGCTCTATCCCTGGCACAAATGAGTGAATGAATGAATGGATGGAATGAACTCTGCTTGGATCAAGAGCACTTTAGGGAAGTAGGGGAGGTAAATGCTCACCTGTTGAGCCTGGTGCTTCCAGGATGCAGGGACATAGAGCTGGATTGGTTGTGGTCCTGTCCTCTCCTGCACTGCCAGCCATACAGAACAAGCCACAGTGCGGCTGAAACTGGAGCTGCAGTGGGCAGAGAAGTGCAGGCGCTGTGGCATTTCTGAGAGAGAAGCTGCCTTAGTTTCATTTCCTGTTGCTGTGATAAAACGCCCTGACTAAAACAACTTAGAGTTGAAAGGGTTTATTTAGCTCACAGGTCCAAGTTACAGTCCATCATTGTGGGGAAGTCAAGATGGCAGAACTTGAAGCAGCTAGTCACATCCGCAGTCAAGAGCAGGGGGAGAGTGATGCGTGCTGTGCTCAGCTCACTTTCTCCACTCACACAGTTCACCATCCCCTGCTTAGGGAATGGTCCAACCCACAGTGGGTGGGCGTTCCCATCTCAATGAACAGAATCAAGATACTTCCCCCACCTGATCTGGACTCTCCCTTATTGAGATTCCCTTCCCAGCCGGTTGTAGATTGTGTCAGGTTGACAAAGCTGACCATCACAGAAGCTTTGCCAGGTTCCATGTGGACATGGTTGGAGGTATGCTCCATCAACACTTGCTCCATCGGTTCCATTTCCAAACTTAAAAAGACTCACATTGCACCTTATGTTCTGACTTTTATTTAGAAGCTCTAATCTCCCCAGTAAAGCAGACATTGGTTTTGTGTTGTTAAAGAGAGTGAAAATGAGCAGAGCTACAGTGACTGTGCTCTGAGAAGGAACCCCATGACTGTCATGGGCCTGCAGAAGTGCCCAAGAGCAAGTGTGTGTTTTTGGCTTTCACAGAGTGTTACCTATGTAGTTGCATTAAGGCATTCATAGGTTGGCCTGTGTGTGCTTTTAACTTCCTTTCAAATAGCTCCATTCCACGGAGTTGTTGGAAAGCCTGAATCAGAAGGTGACTGTAGATGCCCAAGCTCCAAGTTTGTGTCAGAACACAGGCTTTATGCCATTTTCCTCCTGGTACATTTAAATGAAGTAAAAGATTAGAGAGGAAGGGAGTTTGGGGTACCATAACCCTAGAGATGGCTGACTGCGCAGGAACATACTGAAGGACTTCTTGCTGAGGTGGGAGAGTCATTGTTTGGGAGGAAACCTGAGCAGGAGCTAGACCGAGTGGGGCTAGCACTTTATATTGATCTGTAGCTGCTATAATGAAGAACCCTACATGTAGATGGTCAAAAACAACACAAAGGTGTTTTTTTACAGTTCTGGAGACTAGAGTACCAAAATGAAGGTGTCATCAGGGCCACATTGCTTCTGAGTCCTGTGTGGACTCCTTTTCTGACTTTTCCTGGCTTTTGATGGTTTGCTGGAATTTAGTCAGCTTTATATTAGCCATAAAATATCTAGGATAAGTTAAAAAAGAGGACAAGTGAGTTCCTGCAGCCTAAGGTAGAGTGAGAGTCTGTCTCCCCCCACCCCCCCGCCCATCTCGCCCCTAAAAAAGGATCAGTTTATTTTGATTCACAGTTTGGGAGATTCCAGTCCATGGTCAGTTGGCCTCATTGCTTTTGAGCTTGTGGAGAAGCAGCATAAGGTAATAGGGATATCGAAGAGCACTTAATGGCATTCACAAGTGGGCAGCTGGGGGGAAGGGAAGTGTGGCAGGGGTCCCAATATAATCTTCAAGGGAACAACCCCAGTGACCTAAGCTCTCCCACAAGACAGAAATCCCACAAGGCCCCACCTCTTAATACCATGTCCCAGTAGCACCACATTGAGGACTAACCTTCAACACCTGGGCTTTGGGAGACTTTCATATCCAAACTCTATCAGCATCCATCTTTGTGTTCCTTGGACCTTGTATGTGTGTCTCTGGGTCTGAGTTTCCCTTTCTTGTAAGGACATCTGTCATTTAATGTGCTCACCTCTGTAAGATCCTAATTCTGAATAAGATCAATCTGACATTGGGGATTAGGGTTTAATGCTGTTTGGGGGGGGGTCACAATTCAATCCCTAGTATCATTAGTGTGGTAGAATTTTTCTTAGATTTTTTTTCATGGTGACGCCTAAATGGGCATTTTCTCCCTGCAGCCTCCCAGGGAGAGACAGATTGCTAGAAGACACACATGTCCATGGAAAGTTTGTATAGAGAAATTGGGGGCTGAACTTTGGGCTAGTTGCCTTCACCCAGCCTGTCACCTCCTTCACCTCTGTCAACTGAGCATTGAAGTCATTGCTGCAGGCTGTAATGACTGTAATGGAATCTCCAACTCTCCCCAGGCTCTTTGAATTTACTAAGGAAGAATCTCAGACTTGAGCAGATTAGAAAGAATTTTTACTCCAGCAAGAAATTTTTGTTTTGCTCAATGTATACCAAATTAGGCAAACCAAACACATATATACAGGTTAGGTCTTAACTGTATTTTAACTTTAGCAAAGAAACAAACTAAAAAAATGAGTTCGATGAATTCTTTCTGGTATTTTGAGACTCTGCCTGTTGAAGCACTTTGGTGTGGGGAGACACTTAGAAGGAAAGGAAGGTGGGGAAATATAAGAGGTTTTGTTTTGTTTTAAGACAGGGTCTCCCTGTGACCAAAGCTTGCCTGGAACTCGCTCGTTCTGTTTTGTTGTAGGTGGGGGCATGTTAGACAGGATCTTTACATGTAGTCCATGCTGGCTTTGAACTTACTGTGTAGGTCTGGCTAGCCTGGAACTCAAAGCAGTCCTCTACTTCAACTTTCCTAGTGATGAGATTACAGGCATTTATCACACCTGGCTTCTCCCCCCTCATGGACATTGAATATCAGCACTGGGATCTGGGATCTGGGACTTCTAGTCTCCAGAACTGCAAGAAATAAATTCTATTGTTTAAAGACCGCTAGGCCCATCATGGTCTACTAATACAGCCACGCAGCCTGTGACACTATTCAAACCTACAGGTCTGAGTTCTGTATATCCTGAATTAAAAATCTGTGGTCTCCTGTGAACTGGAGCTGTGGTCCACTCCTGTGAGCTACAGCTATGGTTCCCCTCCTGTGAGCTGGAGCTGTGATTCCCCTCCTGTGGACTGGAGCTGTGGTCCCCTCCTGTGGGCTGGAGCTATGGTACCTTCCTGTGAGCTGGAGTTGTGGTCTCCTCCTGTGAGCTGGAGCTGTGATCCTCTCCAGGGAGCTGGAGCTGTGGTCCCCTCCAGGGAGCTGGAGTTGTGGTCTCCTCCAGGGAGTTGGAGATGTGGACCCCTCATTTGAGCTCGAGCTGTGGTCCTCTCCTGTGAATTTGTGGTCCTCTCCTGTGAGCTGGAGTGGTGATCCCATCCTGTGAGCAGGACATGTGGTTCCCCTCTTGTGAGCTGGAGTTGTGGTGCTCTCCTGTGAGCTGGAGCTGTGGTCACCTCCTGTAAGTTGGAGCTGTGGTCCCCTCTTGTGAGCTGGAGCTGTGGTTCCCACCGGGGAGGTGAAGCTGTGGTTTCCCTCCTGTAAGATGAAGCTGTGGACTCTTCCTGTGAACAGGACCTGTAGTCCCCTCCTGTGAGCTAGAGCTATGGTCCTCTCCTGTGAGTGGAAGTTGTGGTTCCCCTCCTGTGAGCTAGAGCTATGGTCCTCTCCTGTGAGTGGAAGTTGTGGTTCCCCTCCTGTGAGTGGAAGTTCTGGTTCCCCTCCTGTGAGCTGGAGCTGTGGTCCTCTCCTGTGAACTGGAGCTCTGGCTCCCCTCCTGTAAGCTGGAGCTATGGTTCCCCACCTGTGAGCTGGAGCTGTGGTCCCCTCCTATGAGACAGAGCTATGGTTCCCCTCCAGTGATCTGGAGCTATGTCCCCCTCCTATGAGAGGTAACTGTGGTACCTTCATAATAATATGGACTCCTAGTCCCAGGGGGATGACTAGAATAAACTGTCCTGGATCAGGTGCTCACCCACTGTTGAAGATCAATGCATCTTTCATTGCTCACCAGAGAAGTTTCTTTACGTAGTGGATGGTGATTGGCACAGAAACTTACGGCTTTCTAATGTGTGGGTAGGGAGGGGCTGCAGCGCGCTTATCTCTGGATGGGACACCTGTCAGGCTTTGGGAGCACAGGACTAGAGAATCATTGCAGAGGACAAGGTGGAGGGATTATAACAGCCAGAGGTGGTGGATGACCATGGCGGGGGGGCAGAGTTCTCCAGACAGCTGGCCAGTTGTTACTCATATTAACTCACAGCAATGTTGACAGCATGCAGAAGTCCTCTGCAAACTTGTGTGGATGATCCCACATTAGAGAACATTTGGGGATTCAAGTTAGACTCTGTAGGCTTTATTACCTAGAGAGAATGCATTGAATTAAGTGGACGGGGCGGGGGGGGATGCAGGGAGGTGTGGATGGGAGAGGGGATATATCATCAAATTATATTGTCTAGAAATCACAAAAATTCAATAAAAATGCTAAAAAAAATCTGTTTCTGAACATTTTATGTTAACTCACAAAACCACATCCTTGTCACAGAGGTGTTAGGGGCTCTTTGGGGAGCAGGCTTGCTAATAAACCCTTGGCTGTATTTCCTTTTCTTCTGACAGGAGCTACATGTTTACAGTAATGTATACATCTTCTGTGAAGTTTCATCTTAAGCATGTTACCAGTGCAGTGATCTAGGACCAGGACACTGAAGATTCATCCTCTGGCGATGTCATTTGCTTGTGCATCCTCTTTACAGATTCCTTCAGAGGCCAGGGGGTAGAAATATTCTGTTCTGTGTGGATGTGAACAGAGGGACAGGGATTGAAATAGGTGGATGGGGGCCCGAGTAGGCAGATGGACCCATGAGTGTGTGAACTGCAACATCAGGGGGCCTGATAGCTGGGAGCTTGAATTCCTTCAGTCAGTAGGTATTCATGCTTTTTTGAGTCTATCACCTGCCATGGTGCCCTGGAAATACATTTCCTGCTCTAGGCCCGATTCAGACCCACACACAGCAGCAGCAGGAGCAACGAGGGATAAGAGAAACCCCAGGCCAGGAAGGACAGGGACCAACTTGGGAATCCTACACATTGGACACTGGCTTTGACTCACAGTGTGTGGCTGAAGTTTAATTTTCCTGAGTAACATCAGAAACGTCCTAAAGTTCAGGACTGTGTGAGCATGCAGTCTCCCAGAACATGATTTTTGTTTTCCTTTCTTGTTTTATCAGGGTGGCAGATAGGTGCCAGTTTCTGGGCTTCACTGAATGACTTTGCTCTCATCCCAGAGCAGCTTAAGAACTTCTCTACCTGTTGTTCTTTCAGCCTAAAGCTTTTTAAACCTGGCCAAGAAGCAGTGAAGTACCAGGGTCCTCGAGACTTGCAGACACTGGAAACCTGGATGCTGCAGACATTGAATGAGGAGCCAGCTGTGAGTGTTCCCTCCTCCTTCCTTTACCCCTCTATGTGCTTGGGAGTGACTACACAGAGGCCAGAAAGTAGAGTTCATAAGTTGTAAGTAGATCCTTTGTACTTGTAGCAATACTCAATAAATAGATTTAAATTTGCAGCTAAGAATTAGAGAAATACAGAACAGCACCATGAATATTCTTAAATATGGGACACTGAGTAAATGGGAATCATTATTCTTAAAAGGAGCCAGTGGAGCAATTTCCACAGTACATTCATCTGACCCTTGTGCTGGTTGCCTGCTCTCGTCAGGACAGCTGCAGATTTTCTGACCCACTCCTTGGAGTGGGTAGTCCATCATCTTGATCCCCTGAGGAACTATCCGTATATTCCTGAGGCAAGAACCTGATACAGTCTTCCTTATGGGGTTGAGTTTCATATCTAAAGTCCTGAGAGAGCTCAAGTTTTGTTTTTGTTTTTTTGTTTTTTTTTTTGAGACAGGGTCTCCCTGTAGCTCCAGCTGTCCTGGAACTCACTATGTAGACCAGGCTGGCCTTGAACTCACAGAGATCCGCCTGCCTCTGCCTCCTGAGTGTTGGGATTAAAGGCGTGTGCCACCACGCCCGGCTCAAGTTTTGTTTTACTTCAACTGCTTGATTACATTGCTTTCTTGCTTAGCTTTGCTTCTCATTATGTAGCCTAGGCTGGCCATGACCACAGTATCTCCCTACCCCCTCGAGAGCTGGGCTTATAGCGTGCACCACCACACTTACATCACTGCTTTGGTTCTAATAATTCCTTTTGTATCTAGTAACTTTACCTTCCCTTTTAGTTTTCTCCTTAAGTAGTTCGCCATGATTTCTTTAAAGTTCTTATTAATTTTTCATGTGAATGTTAGATTTTAAGTGGGATGTCAGAGTCTTTCCACTCCATTCTGAGTCATCCAGTCAGTAGCTAAAAGCTCTTATAGTTGGGGCAAAAGCAGCCCCCAGCCACTGGAGGCTGTTTTGGATGCTTCCTTGTAGAGGCATCCTGAGCTGTGTCACTTAAGTACAGCTGTCCTTCTTGTGTAGTGGACCACTGTTCAGTGACTGTTTTGCAAACAGTGATACCCTCACAGATTGCTTATAGGTTCATTTTTTTATTTCACTTTATTTTACTCCTTTGAAAGGTGAGGCAGGACTGCCAGGTGGGTGGGGAGCCTCTTGTAGTCTCCAGGCTGCTTTTTTTCAAATAAGCAGCTCAGCTTTCTTAGAACTGACTGATAACATAAGCAGAGTAACTTTAAGAACAAATTTCTTATGCTGAAAAGCTAGACAGAAAGCGTCTTGTCCTCGTCCCCCCCCCGCCCCTCCCCCTCCTGCTCAGTCCCAGGGGGTGTCCTGTGTAAATATTTCAGGACATTCATAGGTGGGCACTTTTTGCTTTGTCGCGTAGCCACTGTGTCACTTTCATTTGAATAAACGGTGAGCAGCCAGGCAGTAGCACAAGAGACTGCATTGACCACCTGGTGCCAGTGCTTTTGCCCTGTTCTCCACCAAAGCCCTTCACCTCTACCACCCATATCCCTCCTCCACTTTGCTTCCCCCAGCTGTCCATAGTGTGGGTCTTGTCTTTTCTTCTTGATCCTTAGCCCCCAAGGCTCCAACTGACTTTGCTGATGATATAACTTAGGAAATGCTCTGTGTCTTCCAATATCTCCCTGTGTACTAGTACCATTGGGACACTAAGAGTGTGGCTTATTAAGGCAGATGTAGGCATTTTGTTCTAAATCATAATGATCATACACAGTTCCTTAAATTCCCCCTGCTTGTGGTCCTTTCCCATAAAGGCTGTGTGCTCAGACTTGGCAGAGGCACGGGGTTGCACTTTGATGGTTTATGCTGTTGTGTTGCGGGGACAGGAAAAATGGCCAGCTTCCTTTGCGGCTCTTTTCTGACAGACTATCTAGAGAGCATCTAGAGGCTCTGAGTGCAGCTACTGCGATGCGAACAGTTCATCAAGACTACTTTATTATGCTGGGAAGACATACCCTGTGGCTGTGTGTGCTCCCAGTGGCAATTTGGAGCTCTATGTCTTACTGGTGCCATTTTCAAGGGTGTGTGTGGTTCTTGAGCTCTGCTCTGTGTTCTCTGTAGATGCCACAGCTCATTAGAAACTCAGCTCCTTTAGCCCTGCACACCTCAGACTTAAAACCTCCATAACTGTGGTGAGGAGCATGGTCCACAGTGTTGAATGAGTTGACTAGACTGTAATAATTTTAGGTAGCAGGAAGCCACAAGTTTCTGGGGCAAATTTGCATCTTTGTCGTGTGGGAAAGCTGCCAGGGCAGATGGAGTTTTCATATAGATTGAAACTGTGTACTCTTTCTTTGTGAAAATGTTCCTTTGTAAGAAGGTATAGGTATGGAATGGGGGAGGACAATTTTAGGAGGAGCTAATAGTCTCAAAAAGACTTTTAAATAAACTTTGCACCAAAAAAGGCCTTCCTCTGGAATACCTTTTTTCACTGGTATCAGATGGCAGAAAGATCACACTTGGAGGCTGGAAGGTTGTATAGGCTGGGAGGGTCTTGGACCAGTCAGCGTAGGTGTCCTGAGGGTCATCTTGTATCTTTAGTGTAGGAAAGGGATGGCAGCATGGACTCTACTGCATGCCGCCCCAGAACCACAGTCACCTGCACTCTGTGTTGTAGTGTCTCTGAGCAGTTCGGATCTGAGATAAGGACATGCTGATGTGCCTTGTAGAAAAGTTCAAATAAGCACTTTTATTTTTTTTTGAGATACTGAGATTGAACCCAGGGCCTTTAACTTGTGAGGCAGGTATCTACCCCTGATCTATACTCCTACCCCAAATATGCAAACTTTCTATAGATTATTAGTATTCTTTTTCATGTTTTAAATTACATTTGTTTATCGTGTTTGTGTTTGTGGTGCTGCAAGTGTATGGAGATCAGAGGGCAGCTTGTAGTGTTGGTTCTCTCCTTTCACCACGAGGGCACCAGAGATTGAACTCAGGTCATCAGGCTTGGCACAAGTGCCTCTATCTACGGAGCCAGCTCACAGGCCCTACATTTGAGTTTTCATATTTAAAATACTCAGGCCCAAAACTGCTTGAGATTTTTTTTTTTTGTATTTGGAACATTTACATATACATAATGAGATGACTTGGGGATGGGCCCAAGTCTAAACACTAATGTTTCATAGTTTTGCTATATATACCTTTTATACATAGCCCAAAGGTAATTTTTATACAGTATTTTTAGTGTACCTGCCTTCCGACTTCAGTCTGATGCATGAAGTCAGTGAGAGCTATTTTACTGTAGGACTACCCTGCTGGGACTCAAAATTTTCAGATTTTGGATGAGGGATGTTGAATTTATACTATAAATCAGAACTTTTTTTCAATTTGAACTTAGTTCCCTTCCTGCCCCCGCCCCCCGCCCAGTGCTGGGAATCCAACCCAGTCTTTAAATTTTTGCACATATTAGGCATGTGCTCTACCATTGTGCTTGAACTTAACTTCTTGAGAAAAATATTTTTAAAAGTTCTTCATCCGTATTTCTGTCTAAATAAACAACATATGCATTCTTACTCATAAAGAATAAAATCAGGATTTTCTTCCCATTAGTGTTGTGACAGTATTGTATTCAGAGAAAAGAAAACGTGCCCCTTCTATGTCCCACCACATCTTTCAGATTCTCATATTTGCTTCTCTACTTTTTTTGCTTTTTTAGTACGTATTATACGCAGTGGGTTTCATTTACATTTTTTCTTTTAAAAAACTTGTGTGTGTTTGTATATGTGTGTATGTGTGTATATATGCACACACTCATGCCTGGCCCAGTGCATGTGTGGAGGTCAGAGAACAACTTGTTGGAGTCTGTTCTTTCCTCCCACTGTGTGGGCTGTGGGGATCAAACTCGAGTCCTCAGGCTTGATGGCAAATGCCCTCCACTGCTGAGCCATCTTGCTGGCCCCAGATTTCTAATTTTTTCCTGAAGAGTTAATAATCCTATAAACATTTCATTAATGACTTGCATAATATGTGTTGGTTTATCATTGCTGCTCTATCACATGGAGTGTCATAACTTGACTCTTCTGGTGGTAGACACTTAGGTTACTTAGAATTTTTCTGTCATCATCACTGCTGTAACATGATTATCTTCATAAAGATAAAGAACTTTTCTCCCCTTTTAAGTGCTATTTTTAGAATATTTCAACACTATTTAAATATTTAGTCCTCAAATCTGCAAAGCCAAAAACTAAATCAAGGCACTTTCATGGCTCTTGATAACTGCCAACTGACTTCTCCTTCAGAAGCTTGTCAACTTCCCTCTGTCACCAGCAGGTGAGACTGTCCATTTCTGACACACTGTGGTGTTCTTGGGATGATGGGGACAGCGTGGGTGTCAGCCAAGGAGCAGAGAAGTGAGAGCACCCTGCAGGTGCGATAGATGAAGGTTACTATTGAACACCCTTTGAATGGCAGAAAGGATGCCAACCGGCATTGTAGTTCACCTGATCTGCACACTGACTTACCATGCCCCTTTTGATTATCATTCTGTGTGCATTCTTAGCCCTTTGAATAGGTTTTGTTATTGTTGTTAGTCAGGGTATGCCGGCCTTGAACTCCTGATCCTCCTGCCTCTTTCTCTCTTTCTCCCAATGGCTGGGATTATAGACATATGTCTTCATGCACAGTTAGCCCTTGGATGTTTTGACAAACTAGTGGCAGAAAGGATGATTTTATGTGTTTTCTAATGACAGATTTATATAACACTTTAAAGCCTGTAATAACTTGACTTCGATATCAGTAGTGTCTTAAACTGCCAGGTAGGACTTGAGTACTCTATACTGTGTGTCTGTAGCAAAACAGAGATTCATGGTCTTCACTTCTAGTTTCTTTGGTTAAATGCACTTGGCCTCAAAAACTGAGAGGTTCAGAGTTGGATGGTATTGCAGTTGGTGCACAGAGTTGCTTTTTCCCCAAGCAACAATTACACCTTATCTAGGTTTCCAGTGTTAAGGTTTCCATCTAAAAGTTCAGTCCAAAATGTTAAAATGGAACACTCCAGAAATAATTCACAGTTGTGTGTGTGTGTGTGTGTGTGTGTGTGTATAAGTTGTTGTTTTAAAACCTTTATTAACAAGTAGCAAAAGCTTGATTTTTTTTTTAGTTTCAAAATGTAAGCTTTTATTACAAATTAAAAATGAAATTCTTGAAAATCTCAACTTGAGGCTAAAGAGATGGCCCAGTGGTTAAGTGAACTTGGAGAAGACCTGTATTCAGTTCCCAGCACATGTATTAGGTGGCTCACAACACCTGTAGCTCCAGTTCCAGGGGACCCGACACCCTCTTCTGTAATCTGTGAGCACTGCACCTCACATGCACAGACAACGCACATGTAATTAAAAATAGTAACATCTTTTCTGAAAAACTAACTTGATCATATATGAAACAGTTTAAAACCTTTAAAGATACATTGAGAAAACCCAAGCTTTAAAAAAAAAAAAACACATTTATCATTACCAAAAAGAAATGTTTTTAGGTAAAAATGAAAACCTCATGCTGCATAGACAATGAAAATAGTTGGCACGTATCTGCTTAGCGGGCACAAAGCAAGCCCCTGAGGTCTTCACTCTGGTCTTAAATCATTAAAAAATTTTTTGAGACAGGGCCTCACTCTGTAGCCCTGGCTGACCTGGAATTCACTATGCAGACCAGGGTGACCTCTAACTCAGAGATGCCCTTGCCTCTACCTCCCGAGCCCTGGGATTGACAGTGTGTATCACCACACCCAGGGCCTTTTGTTTATTTCTTAGTGCTGGAATTTAACACTTATTTCTTTTTGGATGACTAAACCAGGTGCTCGTAGAGATGGTAAGCCAGGTATTTTGAATTCTCAGCTGGTGGATCAGCCGCTGTTGTCTCTTTGCCATCTTGTGGTTTAGGATTCTCTGGGCATCTGTGATGCTCATGTTGAAGTGGCTGTTGACCTTGGGTCTCAGTTCCTTCATTTTCCCTTGTCCTCGTCATTGTTGTCCTCTCTAAGCTGTATTTGGCGATGAGGACCCCTGCAGAATAGTGTCTATAACCTCATACATAGTCTGTCACCACTCTAGCTTGCTCTCCTGTACCCTGGTTGTCAGCACCCTCCATCAGTTCTCTCCCCACAGGAGGGTTGGGGTATTGTGGTCAGTGTCTGTGCTGGTTAGTTTTTGTGAACTTGATACAAACCTAGATATACCTGGAAAGAGGAAACCTCAGTTGAGGAATTACCTCCATCGGGTTGGCTGGCTGGGCATGTCTGTGAGGCATTTTCTTTATTGCTAATTGATGTAGAGTATACCAGCCCACCGTGTGCAGGGCCATCTCTTAGCAGGTAGGCCTGGGCTGTATAAGAACAGTAGCTGAGCAAGCCAGTAAACAGCATCCCTCTGTGGTCTCTGCTTCAGTTCCTGCGTTAAGCTCCGGTTCTGACTTCTCTGGATGATGAACTGTAACCTGTAAGATGAAATAAACCCTTTCCTTGCCCAAGTTGCTTTTTGGTCATGGTGTTTACCACAGCAACAGAGAGAAAACTAGAAGAGTATCCACAGGCTCTCCACGGGTAGAAAGGTCTCTTGCAGTTGGGTCAGCCTTGTTGGGATCGCCTAGTTCCCATCTTTACCCATTCTCATTGTTCTGGTAATTCTGCTGGTAATTTGTAGAGGACCCATAAAATGTGGATAGCGCCTGAATGGTTAGTCTGCTACATAGTTACTGCCTTGGACTGGAACTCCCACCAGGGCCTCAACGTTTGCTGCCTCCACACCCTTTTTTCCTTCAACAACATCAAATTCCACAATCTCCATCTTCTACACTGTGAAGCTACTTCTTCGGGTTATTCTTCTTTATGTCATTCTGGAGTACGTTCCTGTTGATGAAATCATATCTGTTTTTACATTGCATTATTTTACTATTCCCTAAACTTTGATTACTGCAACCTTCTTGTCCTTACCAGCAGGTGCCAGTGAGGCCTTTGTCTGTTGCTCCTGGTGCTGGGGGCAGGAGAGGTGGCTACAGATAAGGGCTGACCTTATCTGGCAGCAGCATCTTTTAAAAGGCTGTCTTGCCCCTTTCTGTATTTCTGTCCCAGACTTTGCTGTATGAATTATCTTCTAAAGGTACAACTCACAGGGCCTGTCGCAGTCTCTGTTGCCTGCTGCCTGTTGGCTCCTCATCCTCTATTTTTCCTTTCTGTCCGTCTGGTGCTTTAATTGCCGTGGTTCCTCTGGCCCCTTGTATGAGCTAAGGGTCACCAGCTCTGCTCCCTGGTGATGTCTCTTCTAGCTTTGCCTGCTTTCCTGCCTCTGTGTCCTTAGCTACCACCTGTCTAGAGCAGTTCCCTAGAAATTTCACCTTGTATGCTATGGGAAATCTCAGATTACAAAAAGAGAGGAAGGTTTGCAATTGGATTGTCTTCAGCTTATGTGTTTCGTTTGGTTGAGTTTGGGGTGGAGTCCAGAACTCCAGTTCCTATTGGGTAGGCCTGGTGACGTGGCACCCGGAGCAGTTGGTCTCACTCAGCACAGCAACACCACACACAGGTATGGGGTAGACAGGTGACAGCCAGTATATGCAGACTGTTGTAGATAAGGCCAGAGCTGCTTCTATGGCTCCACTGCATCCTCAAGGACAAACCCATTGACTGTTGTTTCTTCCTGGTAGACACCAGAGCCAGAAGTAGAGCCACCCAGAGCCCCAGAGGTCAAGCAAGGGTTGTACGAGCTGTCAGCCGGCAACTTTGAGCTGCATGTCGCACAAGGTAAGGATGCACTGCCCACTGTGGCTCTGGACGGGCTGAGCTTTCTTCTTGCTACTTGAGGGCTCATAGCTGCATCTGCTCCTGACTCAGCATTTCTGCAGCACTATTAAGATTGTTGCTTAATGCAGGAGCTCATACACGCTATCTCTCCTTCTGCTGCCCTTGGAGACAGGCTTGGCCTGATCCTCAACTAAAGCTATGTGTACACTAGATGTACATAGCACCCTCTGATAAGAAAGTGTTTGTGTTAGTGTTAATGTGAGTGCTTATTGACAGGATGTAGAAGCAAACACCTTTTTGTTCAAATGGAGTTTAGGACTGTTACAGCCTATGAATCAAAGTAGGTGTTCTTTACACTTGCTATTTGAAGTTGGTCTCCTAAATATCAAAACAATCTACCTACAGTCTGCATTGCAAATAATATACAAGACAGTTAGCATATGCACATGTTTCAGAAGTTGGCTCCACCATGTATAGCTAGAAAGCAAACACAGCTTCCTCACTGGCTCAGTTATCACATACTGCATGGAGAGAAATCTCCCTGGAAGACTGGGTTGCAAACGTTGTGAGAATGGGCTTAGAAATGTATCTGGCCTCAAAGCCTGTGCCTGTTGTGAATGGGGCCCATCCCTCACCACCTATATCATTCAAATAATTTATCATGATGTCTTCAACCCTTTTCATTTGTATTCTGATTTGTTATGTAATGTGTTACCTACAGTAGCATTCCTACAGTGAGACCTCTGTGTTTCCTCTGTGAAGACGTCAGACTGACTTGGCTCCAACTATAATGTGCACCCAAATCACCTTGTCATAGACAATCTCCCACAAGCCAGCCCAGCCCTACCTGAAGCAAGGGTCTGTTGCAGGGTACATCGTGCAGACCCCACACTTGCTGTTCTGAGGCTCACTGAGGCTCCTTACCTCCCTACCTCCTAAATATTGGAAGCTGGATCTAGGGATATAGTCTTCCTTTGGTGCTTTTGGGAAAGCAGGAAGCACTTACAGCTGCTGTCAGCACTGAGTGTCTAACGTCTGTGATGGAAGTGTCCCCGAGAGCCACTGTCTGATCCTCTCACTCATCAGCTTTAGCAGTGCTGATCTGACCTCTTACTCAAGCATGCTTCCTCCTCACCCTTCCTCCCCTTCCCCTTTCTCCTCCTGCCCCCTATTTATCACTTGCAGTGTTACAGTTCATAGAAGAGGCAGAATAAATGCACAGTTCTTTCCCCCTTTTTGCCAGTTTTCTCAGTATGAGTTGCTTCTCTTTTCCTTCAAAGATGACAAATTTGATTTTGAGTATTGTTTTGAACTCTGATACGAACATAGTGATGGCCAGTCCCTCTTTACCAGAAAGAATTGAGATTTTTGTAAACATAAGAACAAAGCTCTATTCTTCTATTAGACCCCTGGTTAGCTGTGATGTGAATTCCAGCGCCTCTTTCCCCACTTCCTTCTTCACCTCGGCTTCCCTACAGGCAACCACTTTATCAAGTTCTTCGCTCCGTGGTGTGGTCACTGCAAAGCTCTGGCTCCGACCTGGGAGCAGCTGGCTCTGGGCCTTGAACATTCTGAAACTGTCAAGATTGGCAAGGTAAGCGAAAGCCCTTATTAAACTAGAAATAGACTGCTTTGGGCTGGATTAATTAGCAGAGTAGCCCATTATTCATTTGGTGTGCAAAGTCGCAAACTGGATTTATTAATTCCATTTAGTGTGCCACTTGACAATTCATTTCACCTTCACAGATGGCAGCCTGGTTTTGAGTCCACTGGCTTTTCCACAGCCTGGAGATAAATTATGGCCTGGGCTGCTTTGTTTATTTTGAAGGGACAGCCAATTCTGAATTGGCAGCCCTGGAGCCTGTTCTGCAAAGATATGGGGTAGAGCCTTGCAGAATGCTCACTGGACATTTGTGGAGCTCAGCTAAGAGCTCACTCCCAAAGGGCCCTGGTCTCTGTACTCACACAGGCTTGCAGCAGACCCCATCTCAGACCCTACTTGCACCACTGCCCATGATTCCTTCCAACTGTTCACATAGAGAAGCCAAAAGTAATGTCTAGCAATTTCTGTGTATCCAGGTTTTCTGGAACTCTCCAGAACAGCTCCCAGGCAATCAGGCACTTTTAATGTCATCCGTCCTGTGGTGCCCACCAGGCATCCTTCATGGAATTCCTCTAGAGAAAAATCTTTTTCCTCTGACACAGGGCTCATTTGCATGGGTAGGTTGTATGTCCAGATATGAGGTCAAAAGCAAAGCCTGGGGTTCAGATAGACTTCGCAGACTGACCTTGACTTAGATATCTCTCCTTAGGCAGAAGGGAAGGAAGATGTATGTGCCATGTGTAGTCATGAAGTTGAGAATGTACTGTGTAGTGTGGCCCTTGGAGTGGAGCAGTGCCGAGTAGACTGTAATCATTATTAGTTTAATGGATTCTCTACTTAAGCTTTCAATGATCTATTCTATGCTATGATTATTTTATATATAATATTTATAGTCATTGAACATTTTGCAGAAGTCATTATGTCTTGTGTTCTATCTTGCCAAGACTTTGTATTCTTCAGATTATTTTGTGAACTTTTATTGGAGATGGTGTGTTTCCCGTTTATCTAGTAGAGGCTCTGAGCAATACAGGCCATGAGGGGCCTTTATTTCTAGGTGCTTGGGGCTGTGTTAGAGTGGACCCTGGAAAGTGCTCATGCATCATAGACCCGGCTTGAAGTTTCCTAGACTTCACTTACCACTTGAATGGCTCTCACTGCAGCCTTGTAGCTTCATGTAGTTTTAAAACCGTACTTTTTTGACACGATGAAAAACAACTTAGTTCTGTCTGTCTAATTTTAATGCTGATAAAGTTTAAAAAGTAACTTAGAAAATGTTTGTGAAAATATCAGGCAAGGAGAATCCTTAAAAGATTGAAATGAAGTAGTCTGACCCAGAGATGATACAGGTCTGTAATCCAAGCTACTCTGGAGGCTGAGGCGGGAGGCTTATGAGTTTAAGGTCAGCTAGGGCACTTTATTGATCTCTTGTCTCAAAACAAAAATATTTTAACAGAACTGGAAATGTAGCGCTTGCCTAATATACATAGGGCCCTAGGTTAAACTCTCAGTAGAACAAATAAATATGGTAATCTTATTTAGACAAATTTATAATGCTATGCTTATCAGACTTTCCTATTAAAGTTGATTAATTTGCTCCCATTTGCCTTTATTTGTTTATTTATTTTTTGGTCAGGGTCTTCCCGTAGCCCCAGCTGGCCTAGAACTCACTATGTAGACCAGGCTAGCCTCCATCTCACAGGGATCTGCCTGCCTCTGCCACCAAGTGCTGGGATTAAAAGAGTGTGCCACCACACTTGACCCGATTTGCCTTTTTGTGTATGTATATGCTGGGGTTCAAACCCAGGGGCTTTGTGCATGCTAAGCACATGCTCTGTCACTGAGCTGTGCCCCTAACCATCCTGCTTGATTTGAAACCTAATGCTGAGTGTGACAGTCATTTCCATGGTTCTGGGCATCGTCCACATGAGTGTCCAGCTCAGCAGAGCCCCTTCTCAGGTGTCGGAAGGCTTCCTAAACCTAGCATTTTCCAAGTGAGTTAAAATAAATCCTGTATGTAAAACAAATCTCATCACCTTGTTCCATTAGCTCAGGTATGTAAGGAAAAATTTCAAACTTGTAGCTTACTGCCACAGATGCTGTGGAATCTAGCTTTTAAAATTTTTTATCAAAGTACAGATTATCCCATAATGCCTTTAGCATTGAGGAACCTGACCAGGAGCTTTATTGTACCATTTTCAGGTTGACTGTACGCAGCACTATGGACTCTGTTCTGAAAACCAGGTCCGAGGCTACCCAACTTTGCTCTGGTTTCGAGATGGCAAGAAGGTATGTCTCTGGTTCCTGTGTGGGCTAGTCCTTCTGTCAGCCACTGCATCTAAGATGCTGAGGGGTTTACAGGTACAGCAAATGGCCACTGCCAACTGCTGGAGGAATGTGTACAGTGGAACTTTCGTCTTTCCCTTAGCTGATAAGGCCTGTTAGACAAGAAAACTGACATTTGTTACACTGTTTTGAGGCATTTTGTTAGCTCAGGTTATATCACCAGTTACCCAACTGCGCAGGCCAGGATACCTGTCGTCTGGTACAAACACAGACCTTCCAGACCTCGGACCAGGAATAATGCTTGCCCTCAGTGAGGTTCTGCCTCCTTCCTCCTTCCATGCCTGGCCCATGGTCTACAGCTCAGAATTCCCCAACATATTAGATTTTGTTAACTTGACACAAACTAGAGTCACCTCAGCAGAAGGGACCTCAGTTGTGGAGTTTCCTTCATCAGACTGGCCTGTGGGCATGTCTGTGAGGCATTTTCTTAATTCTTAATTGATGTAGGAGGGCCCAGCCCACTGTGGGTGGTGCCATTCCTGGCAGGTGGGCATGGACTGTATAAGAAAAGTAGCTGAGCCAGCCAGGGGGGAGCGAGCCAGCAAACAGCGGCCTCTGTGGTCTCTGCTTCAGTTCCTGCCCCCAGATTCCTGCCTTGAGTTCTTTTGATGGTGCACTGTGACTTGTAAGATTTAATAAACGCTCCCTTCCCCAAGCTGGTTTTGGTAGGATACCCAGGGGAGCATGATGGCTGACGGGCCAGCCTGTACTTCAGACACCTGTACTATACAGCTTATGGAGAAGGTGATGTGGCGACTCTCACTAAAGCCAAGATGTTTGCTTGTGATTTGTCCTTTTTCAAGTGAGAGAGCAGGCAGATATCATGGCTGGAGCTGAGACCCCTGATGAGGACTCAGCGTGGCAAGTGGGGTGGGACGTATGTGACAGAAGTGCTCAGCATCTCTGTGGCCTGTGTCTTGGACAGGTAGATCAGTACAAGGGAAAGCGGGACTTGGAGTCACTGAGAGACTATGTGGAGTCACAGCTGCAGGGTCCAGAGGTGGCCCCAGAGACCATCGAGCCTTCGGAGACCCCAGTGCTGGCTGCTGAGTCTACTGGCAACAAGGTATTGGTTGGAAAGCATAGACATGATTGGATCACCTACCCACCTACAGAATCTTATCAAACAGGGCCCTCTCGATGCAAAATGCTTTCTTGTCTACTGTTTCTTGCTTTATGTGGCCCAGGTCAGCAGAGGGAGTCTTCCCTTGCAAAAACCTGAGGTAGACATGAGAAAATCCTGAGGAGGTATTTGGTGTCACAAGCCTCTGGAATCTGTCCTTCATGGCTTCATTACTTGGGGATGATATATGTGAACCTTGCCTACTACACTGGCTCCATTTCTCTTCACCCCAGAACTTGCTGCTGTCATTTGACTTTGACCTTACAGCAAAGGCTTCTTGGAGATCTGCAGCTGGGAGGGCTATGCAGAGGATTGGGCAGGCAGATTGCAGATTTCATTTGTTTAGGCAGCCTGTCATCCTGCGTTCATGTGGCCTTGGGTTTAGACTATAGGTTCTGCATTTTATCAAGCCCCCGTTACACTTCCAGCTGCCAGAAAACAACAACAGCAACTATGACTTTTCCAGCCTGTAAAGGTTGGGGTCTCCGAGGGAAACAATGAGACCATGTATGAGCAGGTGTCCTGGGGGAGCTGTGATGAGCCTATGTGCTGAGCATCACCTAGTTGGAGAGATGCTGGGGTGTTTGCAGGACAGACTCCCAAGGTGCCAGATGGGGGCGCATGGGAACCACCGTACCGGCTGGTGTGTTCAGGTCAGGGCCAAGCCAGGCAGCAAGGCACTGAAGGGAAACAGTTCCTGAGCTGCAGTGGGATACCAGAGAGTGGCAGAGATGGGAGCTAGAGGGTGGAGCACCTGTCGCCAGCCAGTTGGTGGGGAGCCCTGGTGGGTTTGAGCAGTTGAACTGCAGGAAGATGATTTGCAGCTTCTGAGGTGAGGTGAGAGGAAAAGCTGTTGTATTGGGCCCTGAAAAACAAGACTCCAAAGTAAGAGGGAGACAGAGGAGGTCAGAAGAGAAAGCCTAAGGGTCCTACTTTTGTGAGCACAGATCCTGGGGGGTGGGAGGCAAGGGAAGGAGGGGTCCAAGGTGACTCAGATTTCTGGAGTGTCTGGCTAATGGTGGCACCCAGCATAGAGAAGGAGCAGGGAGCAGGAAGGGTGGTTTCCTGGCTGTGTGAGAGAGGGTGGAGACACACGATGGACAGTTAGTACGGGACTCTGGACCACCACAAGAGGTCTGCACTAACTGAGTGATGTGTCACCAGCCAAACATAGAAACAGACACTGAAGCTGTGGGTGCCAAGACTATTCAAGGGCTGGTGCCATAGGTTTTCCACAGCTGCCCACCCTAAAGTCAGTGTGTTCAAAGCAGAGTTCAGTCCACCCTCTGTATTCAACCAGAGATCAAAAGTAGGTCAAATTGCACTTTTACCAAATGTATGTGTAAATTATTCTCTTTATTAGGCTCTAAACAACTATTGACATTTCATTGTATGAGGTTATCATAAGTAATTCAGAGATGATTTAAAGTATATGGGGGATGCATGTAGGCTCTATGAAAATACCTGTTACAGGTAAAGGACCTGAGCCTCCCTGGGTTATGGACAGAGTGTTCCTGGCACCAGTGCCCTGTGGGTACTGAGGAATAACTTCATGGATGTTATTCATCTCCCACCATTCTGCTTCCTAACAAGCCAAGCTCTTTCCTGGATAGTGAGACATTGGGGGCCATAGGGAGGGGCAGCGAGCATGCCAGGATGAGGGCAGTGACTCTAACTGAAGCCTTACCATGTGAAGAGAGGACTCGACTCGCTGGAGCTATCACTCAGGAAAACTCAGTTCTTGGGAATTAGAAAAGTCAGTGGCATAGCTGCCCTCCTCCCCAGGTGTGGGCAGCCAGAGGCCTCCTCAAGTCAAGACCCATTCCCTACTTGTACTCTTACTGGTCAGGGACAGCCTGAAGTTTTGGTTTAAGAAGTAAACAAACAATTCTGGAGTTGTATGAGTACATACAAATATTAGGGGAGCATATGTGTCATGGCGGTTATAAAGGTCATCCCTAATTGAGTAGAATTATACCCCTTAGGTCCTTTCATCATACACTGTGGCTATTTATAATGAAGCTTTCCACCATTAGGCAGGCCTCTTAGCGAGGCAGCGTATTTCTGGACATAAGGATGGTAGTGTTCTCAGTGGCCCTGCTTAGCCTTGGAGTCCCCGACAGCAGCCCTCGTACACTTGAGCTGCTTGATGAATCCTTCATAGCGGCACTCTTAGAGGACTGCTGCATACCCACTTTTAGTGAAACAGATAAGATCCTGCAACTGTCAAGATTAAATTGCTTTGAGATACCTTCCCTTGAAATACTCCAGCTGAATTGGATGAGCATCACTCAAACTTGTTTTGTATGTAAGAACGGCAAGAAGCCCATTCTGTGTAAAACACCTAGTTGACCTGTGCTGAGGCAGCTAGGTTCCTCTGTTGGCTAAGAGGGTACATGCTTGGATAGGCAGGACAGGAGAGAAGAGTGAGCCAGCTCCTACAGCCTACCAGTGGCACCTTGGGCTGCAGGCCTGGGAGGTGCAGGATCAAGGCTAGAGTAGAGTGACCTATACTGTTGAGCCCTGGAGGATGGGGGCCACACCTGAAGCCTCTGGGCTGGCTGTGGGCAGAACAGAGGCCTGGGAGGTCTGTCTGGGGTCTCAGCTTCCTGCTGTGCCCCCTAAGATGACACCCACCTGCAGTGTCCTGCTGTCCGACTCCTCACTTCTAGCAGCTCCTGGGCTCTCACCCTGGGCCCATCAAGAGACCTTGGCCGCCCTGTGTGTAGCTTGTAGACTGTCCAGGAGTGTGCCTGGCAGCATTTTTCAGAAATGACAGGTTCTTCTTCCTGCCCTAGTCTATCTTAATCAGTGTATTTAAACTGACTTTCCCCCTGAAGGGCACTGTGCTGGCACTCACAGAAAAGAACTTCGATGATGCTGTTGCAGAAGGAATAACCTTCATCAAGTTTTATGCTCCATGGTAAGTGGCCACCTAATTAGAAATAGTACCAGTGTATTCTCCGTCACAGCATGTCTTTCAATTCAGTAGGTCACCTTCCAGACTGGACGTTGGGCAGGCATCATGTGTAAACACAGGCCATGTTGCAGAAAATGTTGCCTTTATAGCCCCTGTTCATCAAATATATTGAAGTCATCAAGTATATTGAAGCACTCAACAGTTATTGTATAAATAATAAGGTTAAATTACTTAAAGTTCAGTCTACTCCAGAAAAACAAAAATGGAGCTGAGTTTCAGTGGTCATAGAAAAGTTCATTTCACGGCATCTGGAACTTTCCAAATGGATGGCTTTGCTGGGGGAGCCAATAGTGAACATGGTGCCAGAGCTCAGCTCCCCGCTTGCCTTGTAATCATGTTACAGAAACCAAGAAGAGCTCAGCTTTCTGTTAGAACCTCTCAGTATGTGACCAAGTTACCTGAACCTTCTGCCACCTCGTCCTTGGGGACTAGAGCATGAATGGATAGAGCGCCAGGGGTTTGAGACCAGGATCACCTGGCTGTGAACTGCTGTAACTCTGCATGCCCTTGGATGCCCTTGAACTTGTTTCCTCAGCTCTGAAATAGGAGCAAGAGTCTGTCTTCATAAGTAAAGCAGTCCACTGGAACAAGCAGTGTGTGCAGAGTGTTGGATGATTTACCCAAATGCACAGGGACGTCACCATGTCACTTTTCTTGTCAGCTTGTTTCACTCCTTGTACTCAGGAGAAACCGTAATGGCAGGGATGGGAAGCTAGTGAGGATGCAGGTCAGGAGCTGGGCAGTTTTTGCTCTAATAGAAAGGCAGTCTGGAGGAGATGCATGCCTGGAATCCCAGCACTGGGAAGGCTTGAGGCAGGAGGAATGTGAGTTCATGGCCAGCCTGGGCTACAAAGAAGACCTGGTAACAAAGAAGAAATGCTGCTGAGTAATCATTAAAATACTTCTTATTAAAAAATCCCTAAAGCTGTGTGATCACGAATGACAAGACCAGACCCTGCAGTGGGGAAGGACAGGAAGAAACAGGTGTATGGGGCAGATGGGAGGATTTGCACCAGACTGTCATGGCCTCTTTGAGGTTGCTGAAGTGTCAAAGAATCTCTGAAGTCTTGAAATCTTTACCCAAGCAATCCAGTCTAAACTGCCCTCGGCCCTAAAGTGAGGCTTTAAAATCCCGGGTTTCCTTGGACTTGTTCGTGTTCTCCCCCTGCTGTTTACAGGGCATTCATGCTCCACTTTGCTCCACTCACCGTCCTGAAAGTGGGCTCAGAGTATAAACTTTCTGTAGCCCTACTTACTTCTGTCAGGTTACCAAAATGACTGAATTCCTTTTTGGGGGGGGTGGAGGCGGGGAAGAGTCTACATGTATTCAGTGGGAGAACTTGATGTTTATCAACACCTCTTTGAGGCAGGTGTTGACCTGGAGAAACAAGGCCTTAGTGGTAAGATGCAGAGTGACCTTGCCTCAGACTTCAGCATGGCTGCCTCTGCTCCCTTCTAGGTGTGGCCACTGTAAGAATCTGGCTCCTACCTGGGTGGAACTCTCAACAAAGGAATTCCCTGGCTTAGCAGGGGTCAAGATCGCCGAAGTCGATTGCACTACTGAGCGGAATATCTGCAGCAAGTACTCGGTGGGTACCCTGACGAAAATATGCCTTGCCTGGGGATGCTAAGGATTTGGAGCAGCTCCCCAGGGGACTGTCATTTGGCATTATGGAATGAGATCGCTCACTCTGCTCTGGCCTCCCTAGAGAGTGGCTTGTGTCTTGATTTGTGTCATTTGAGAAACAAAGGATACTCTGAAAGGCCCTCACTATCCTCGGCTGCAGGAAGTGGGCTCTAGGGCCATGCTGAATCTAGGCTGTACAGTACTGAGATGCCAAGTGCTGAGAGCACATGCTGCCTCCATGGCCCTTCTTGGTGACTGCCCAGCCCCTTGTCCTAATCACTGGAGGACTCAGCATTCAGATATAAGCCAAGCCCTAAAGGGTGGGGCTGAAAGGAGCCTGTAAATCTAACCTTTCTTTGGAAAGGCCATGGCCAGGAAACCAGACTTTTAAACTGGTGCTTTTGTCCTGAGCTGGTCATATAGGTTTATGGACTATATTTATCATTTATATTTTGCTTTTTGTGTGTATGGTGTTTGTTTGTATTGCTGGGGATGGAACCCAGTGTCTCTTGCATACCACACATGTGCTGTACCACTGACATTAGCCACAGAATTTTCCAGCCCCATCTATAGGAGCTTTTCTGAGGTGGTGGTGGTGGTGGTGGTGGTGGTTGGAATGAGAGAGAGAGAGAGAGAGAGCCCAAAGTTGATGTCCAATTTCCTCCTTAGTCACTTTCTACTTTATTTTTGAGACAGGAACTTGGAGCTCATTGATTTGGCTAGGCCGGCTGGCCTAGTTCTGGGGATCCACTGTCTCTAGCCTCCCTAGCACCAGAGCTGCAGATGCACACCACAGGGCCTGGCTTTTACATGAGTGCCGGGGATCTGAACTCAGGTCCTCATGCTGTGTGGCACTTTCCTGAGCCATCTCCCCAATCTCTACTTTTAAGCAACAACTTGCTTGTGATGTAAATCATTCTGTTCAGCTTGTCTTTTTTTACTCTTTTAAAGGTACGAGGCTATCCCACATTGTTGCTTTTCCGCGGAGGTGAAAAAGTGGGTGAGCACCATGGCGGTAGAGACCTGGACTCCTTACACAGTTTTGTTCTGCGCCAGGCGAAGGATGAACTATAGAGACCCCTGTGACAGTCCCCTGCCCTGACCTCCTGCAGCTAGTGTATAGGAACAACATCGTAAGGATGTCGTGGCTGTTGGGAAAGCTGACTAAACTAAACTTGTGTGTCTTCATGTCTGCTTTTTCAGCCACTACACACTATGGACCTTGATCAAGTTTCTCTAATCACATAGCTCACGGTCACTGGGCAAACCAAATATTTTCAGTGGCAATTCATCCTGTAACTTTCTCTTGACAAAATTAAATTGGCTTCCTTTGAAACAAAAATAAGTGTCAAGGAAAACCAAATTGCTGAACTCTGCTGGCTCCTGAGAGAGTTGGAAATGCATTATCCAAAAACATAGTTTTTTGAACTGCCTCTGAGTTCTAGAAAGGTGGTCTATGGCGCTGTTGATGTTCCTTTGATCTGAAGGTCATAACTGACTTAATATGGTTGGTCCATAGCTTAAAGATACCTTCGCAGGTGTCTGCTTCTGCTGGTCTTACCTCTATAGAGGTAAGCCATAATGAACGGTACTTTTGACATGTGCCCAAAGCTGATATGTGTGTTGACACTTGTCAAATCCATTGTTGTTTAAAGAATCTGTCTGCTTCACATATGGGGAAAGATTTCATTAGCTCACCATGTGAACATGAAGCCCATGTAAACATTTAAGTGTCTTCTGCAGAAAGTGAGGGTATGGAAAGGTCCACAAGGCAGGTCCTCACCACTCTGTCAGCTCACAGAAAACACTCTGGTCCTGTTTGCCACCTGGGACAGTAGGACCCCGTGGGCTTTCCCAGGCCCGAGGACCACCCTGCAGCTCCTCCTCCCATACCCTGTAGAAACAGCTTCTGACTCCGTTCCTAAATAGTCCTTTTAGAAGCGTGCTCTGTGTTGCCCACCTCAAGGAGGTCGACCTTCTAATGTATGAGCAGTGATTCATTTGACCTCGAGACCAAAGACTGAAGGCGGCAGGGCTGCCCAGCCCAGATAGGCATGGTTGATGTCGACACTAGCTCTTTCCAGTTGCCGCCATCCAGTTTTTGACATCGCTCTCACCTTTGCAAAGCAGCAACCCTGGGGCTAAGTGCTCTTCATGTCTATGTCTGTCTTTCCATCGAGTTACTTGTCCTCATAACCCTCTGTGCTGAGGTGCTTCACCCGCCTCCCACGAGCAGGAGGGATATCCACAGCTGGCACAGAATGTACAGAAAACTCAAGACCACGTCTACGCTGTGAGCAGAAGGAACAGAGGCACCTCTGCCAGCCTCTGCCTTAAGGAAATTTTATTATTAACCATGTGTGGTTCACAGCTGTCCTTTAAAAACAGCTCTCTAGAGAGGCCCAGCCCACAGGTGGCATCAGCTTTGCATCATGAGTCTTGTATTAAAAGAAAATTCAAGTGGTACAATTGGTTTATACTTTCTAAATAAACTTTTTTTTTTTTTTAAGAAAAAGTCTGGTCTTTTCTTAAATGTTACAGCAAAATGGATATAAAATAGACAATAAATTATAGTTTCTATTTACAAAAAAAGCTGTAAGTACAAACAGTTACAGATTATAAATGTATTATTTAATCAGTTTAGTATGAAATTGGTTTCCCAGTACATGATTGTGAAAAAGACATTTAAAAAATAGTCTAAGATTTATTCCGAGTCTTTCTACAAGAAGAAATTGTGATTTTGGTTCACAAACAGCACACTCACCTTAACAAATGCATTCTTAGAGGTGCCCTTCCTCCATGAGCTTCTGCTGTGCACTCTAGCCCAGTGCCATGGAACAGTGCTGTAGAGGGAAGGCTAAGGGGCGCATTAATGTCATCACTGGGATGTTAGAGCCAGCGTTCCTGATGCTCGTGCTTGTCAGAGCCTGCCTGCTTAAGAGGTGCACGCTCACTTTCCACTGCTGTATGGTTAGAGTGAAGGCTTTTGAAGAAGCTTTGTGGCCCCTCAAGCCCCCACCTCAAAGTGTGGCCAGTCTTCTTTGGGGTCTAATAAAGAATACAGCAAGTGGAGGAAGAGAAGGGTGTGGAAGTGGTTTGCTTTGACTCAAATAAGTACATTTTCATACCACCAAGACACACAAACAGGTACCAACAGACAGAAGGCACCTCCATAGAGTCCTGCGTATGGCCAGACTACTGATCGTGTGTGAACTGGCCTTGCTGGGAATGAGATCTAGGAATAGAGCTACCCCCCCCCCAACACACACTCCATTATGTTATCTACCTCAGACATGTATTACTGAACCAGCAAGGGAGTTACAGTCCAAGATTATTCTCCCTACTTATACCACAGACAGCTTGATCTAAAAGCTAAAACTAATCTGGATGGGATTTTATTGGGGGAGAGGGGGTCTTCAGAGTTCTGTTTTTGCAGTTCCCAGACATATACTGCAAACACAAACTCAGCTTCCTCTGGACCAACAACTTTTCATGGTAGTTACGAGTTGAACAAGTTATTAATGATGTCCTCTTAAAATCATCCTTGGGCAGTAAGGCACCAGCAGGAGATGGTGTCAAAGCATCATCGTCCCACTTCCACTGTGCTTCTGTGTGTTTTAAGGCAGATGTAATCCAAGGCAGAATCTCCCTGGCACAGCTGGCTTTGTCTTAATGGCATCCACAAGCTCTCACAACCATATTCCTGTATTTTTTCAGGATGACATTGGAGTTGTCATCAAAATAAAGAACTGAGATGGCATTTAGTTTAGTTGGTGCACAGCATGGTTTGGGGACATACTCGGGATTCATAAGGTGAACCTGTTCCAAAACAGAAGGAGGAAAGGGCACCATTAGCAATGTCTCCTGCTTCTGGCTTGATCCCACTTAACCAAGTCAAAGAGCTCACCAAGGTCTGCACGATGGCATGGTTGGTGGCATTCATGTGGGCGTTCAGTGGGAAGGAGCACTCTCCATCACAGTAATTGGCAGCATAGCCTTTGGGTGCAATGATCCAGTCCTTGAGATAAAGCAAAAAGAAGCAAGGGAAGATCAACCAGACACCCCTATACTGTCTGTGTTCTCATGGTTCCCGAGAGAAGGTAGTGGTCATGGGGCACACATTGTGGGCCATGCAGAAAGGCCTGGGAATTGCCCAAGTTTGCATTCAAGTGCCAAAGCTAAAAGTGTGAACCCTCCAGAGGCTTACATGGTATGTGGGCTATCCACCTGTTAGGTCTGGAATTGAGCAGTGGCCGGTTTTAGGTACAAATGCTCCTTGACTTACGATGGGGTTACATCCCAATAAAATATGAGCTGAAAATGCCCTTAGTATGCCTAACATACTGAGCATCCTAGCTTAGCAACATAGTACACTGGGGTGGCAGCTGTTTCCCAATGGATCACAGGATTGACTTGGAGTGGTAGTTCACTGCTGCCGTCAAATGACATCAAAAGGATGCAACCAACAGTGGATCACTAGCCAGGGAAAGGTCCGTGTTCAAGATCTGAGTACTGTTTCTTTCTGTGAACACACACTGCGTCCACATCATTAAAGCTGAACAATGGTAAGTTAAAACATGAGTCAGGATCTGCCATGTGTTATTGGACCTAAGGACCTTCTCCAGGATTCCATGGTGTTCCTGTTAAAATAATGCCACCTATAGATAAACTAGCATCACTTACTGCTCATCATATCTAGTTGGATTTGCCTTTATTTTTAAATATTATTTAAAATTATTTTTTAATTAAAAAAAAATTTTATGTCTATGAGTATATTGCCTGCATGTGTGTAAGTGCACTCATGTCATGCAGTGCCCATGGAGGACAGAAGAAGGGACAGAAGAAGGTGTCGGATCCCCTGGAACCGGAGTTACAGATTGTTGTTACCCGCAATGTGGGTGCTGGGATCTGAACCTTGGTCTTCTGCAAGAACAACCAGTGTTCTTAATTGCTGAGCCATCTCTCCAGTTCCATTATTATTTTTATGTGTATGAGTATATTGCCTGCATATATGTAAATGCACCTGTGTTGTGCAGTACCCACAGAGGTCAGAAGAGAGGGGAGGATTTCCCTGGAATTGGAGTTACAGATGGATGTTAGTGGCCATGTGGGTGCTGGGAATCAAACCCAGGTCTTCTGCAAGAGCAGCCAATGCTCTTAACCATTCAGCCATCCAGCCCTATTTTATTCTTTTTTAAGAACCAACTAGTGGTGGCTCTCAGGTATGGGTAAAACATCTGTGTTCTTACATATAGTTTTGGTGAGCCAGTTTAGAACCACTGAAGAAATTAATCATTAGATTATTTTTATAATTTCTGTTTCAAAACAAGTTTTTTTTTTAAATGCCCAAATGCATGCATGCATCTTGGGCCTTCAGAGAATAAGATAAGAGAGAGAAACTGCATTGAATTGGAGGGATCATAGGGCTTGGGAACCCCAGAAAGAGGTTAGTGGGTGCTTGATGCACAAGCAGGATGGGTCTTCCTGTCTCCAGCAGCCTGAACATTTGAGAGCTCCTAGAATTGCTATGGAATCATCTCTGCCTAGAAGCTGGTGATGGCTGCTATCAATGAGGAAAGAACAAACTGCCCACCAAGGACCTTTGCCCCCCTTATTCTGGGAACTCACCTGCCATCCCAGGTCCTGGAAGCTCACATAAAGTTCATGCTTCCTGCAAGCTGTTTTTAATTCACTGCTGTTATAATCTGTTGGAGGAGATCAAAAGATATACCTATTAAATCACTTGTTCACTGATTTAAAAGTCCACATTGAGAGTCTGCCTCATGCAGTGCGCTATACAGGCTCAGGGCAGCTGAAACAGGCCCTTGTTATGCACACATAGTCCCTTAAGAGCTCTGTTGGGCTCTCAATTATTTGCTCACACACTCCACTTGGCCCATTCTGGGGTCAGTTCTGAGTATCCTTAATGGACACCTCTAAGGAACACCTGTACCCTGCTTTGTTTAAAGTCTATAGATGCTGCTTCTGAGATTCCCACTAAACTTGGAAGACACCATACAGTTAGTAACAGGTGACTGGGTCAGGCAGGATTTGCTGTATTTCAAATGTGGACCATCCAGACACTGCATAGGGCTTTGGAGATAGCTTCTGCTCCAGGAGAGTATCTTGAAGGAAGTGTTATGGTCAGGGCCCAACCAGGAAGCCCAGATGGGGGAAAACGTGATGCCGTGAGACCATGCTCTTGTGTTTATGTTCCAGCCTCACTGTGATGGAGCCCTTTTACTTGTATTAAAACAATCACTCCAAAGCCAGCAGTTCCATGAAAGAATCTACCGAAGCTGCCAGTGCAATTCAAGAGCCATTTAGCCTGGCTTAACATAATCCTCAGCAAAAGGTCTGGGGACATCTCGATTCACTTAGGCCCATCAGTATAGCTTTTCTTTGGCATGCGTCTTCTGCCTGGCACCAAGGGAAAGGGAGATGAATCAGATACAGCTTTTGGCCTTCAAGAACTCAAAGGGATGATGTGAGAAATGTATTCAAGAACTTTAAATGCAATTCAGAATGTGAATGCCATGGACCAGGGTCATGAGTCACCATGACTGAAGCTTACAGAAGGGACAGTGCAGAAGTGGGCAGGAAGAACAGCTCTGCTGGAAGATTGGAGGACACACAAGAAAGGCTTGGGAGACAAAGTGACAGATATGGGTGGCTCAAAATGCCAACCACAGGGATGTGGACTTTCCATTGGCGGCACAGAGTAAGACTTTGAAGGGTTTTGAACCAGGAAGTGCTATGGTTTTAAAAGATTCATGGATCTGGTTGTTGTGAATGAAAGGGCAGAGAAATACAGGGTAAAGAGGCAGTTGGGGAGAAAGTTTCTTCCTCTAACATGATTAAGAATGGATATAGAAGCCAGATGTGGTGATGCACACCTTTGATTTCAGCACCTGGGAGGCAGAGACAGGCAGCTCTCTCCGAGATCGAGGCCAGCCTGGTCTACATAGCAAGTTCCAGGCTAATTAGGGCTATAGGAGACCCTGTCTCAACAACAACTCCAACAAAACACACTTAGGGTCTCATCTAGAATGTCATTGTTCACTCTCATTCTGCTTGTCCTCCCTCCAAATTTCCCCTCAAATCTCTGAGAGCAATCTTAGAACCACTGGCCATGTGAAAACAGGGATGTCTACAAAGAATCTTCCTTCTGAGGTAAGGCAGATATGGGCAGTGTGAAATAATAGAGACTATATCTGGTCAGGCATGGTAGCTCACACCTGTACTCCCAATACTTAGGAACTTGGAAGGCTGAAGCAGGAGAATTGCTGTGAGTTCAAAGCCAGCCTGAATTTCATACTGAGTTTTGGGCTAGCCAGAGCTATAGAGTAAGACTCTGTCTCAAAAACAAAACAAAACAAAACAAAACAAACAAAAACAAAACAAAACAAATTATTTGGCCTTTGTCTCTAGTTCCTGGCTGAGGACATGCAAACCTCTTAAAATTTCCTGAGTGACAGGAGTGTCTTTGTTACATTAACAAGACTCTACCCCCACCACACTTATATCCCTCACGGAGGGTCCCAAGACAGCTTCAAAATGTGACTGGTCAGCAGAAACACCCAGTACGTGATAAAAGGGTTGGTATTCTGGACGAGCTTCCCCTCTGAGGACTGAGTCAAGTCACATGATCAGTGATTTGATCACATACAGCACTGAAATCTCATATGCTATAGTTCATATATATTTTGTTGCCCAAAGGTTTGTGGGCTAGAAGCTTGGTCCGTATAGTTAGTAATAGTTATGAGGGTGGAGACTTTAAGAAGTGGGCCTAGTAGGAAGTAATTACATCATGGGGCACCACCTTGGACAGGATTACTGTGCCTCTCTAGGTAACCGTATCAATTATCTTAACAATATATTGCTATAAAGTGAGGTGTCCTAATTACCTTTCTATTGCTGTGATAAGACACTAAGAATAACTTGGGAAGGAAAGGTTTTATTTCACCTTACAGCTTACAGTCCATCATCTAGTGAAGCCAGGATGAGCTCAAGACAGGAACCTGGATGCAGGAACTGAAGCAGAGACCACGGAGGGCACTGCTTTCTTTTCCTATACAGCCCAGGCCCATCTGCCCAGGGATGGCACCACCCACAGTGGGCTAGGTCCTCCTACATCGATTAGCAATTAAGAAAATGTCCCACAGACAGACTCGCAGGTCAGTCAGATGGAAGCAATTCCTGAACTGAGGTTCTATTTTCCCAGATGACTCTAGTTAGTGTCAGGTTGACCAAAACTAACCCCCACACAAGGCCATCTCACATTAGTCTCTTCCATATGTATCATTTTATGTCCTTGGATGCAAATATGAAGCCCGATTTTATTCTATGACACTCCATGAGGCCCTTATCACATGTAGCTGGCCACACTTAGACGCTTCAGCTTCAAACCATGAGCTATAAAGTATACAGTCTCAGAGAGTTTTTATAGCAACATAAAATGGGTGGAGTCACCATATAAAAACCCTGGACCATGAGGCTCAGTGACATTTCCAGATCTGTGCACATCGTGGTGCTGTGAGAGAATGGTATCCCTAGAGAAGGTAAAGAAACCGCAAGCCCCCAACTCCCAGTTCTCCCTTGTTCCAGCTCTCTCATTTGGCTGTTCCTGAGTTGTACCCTTTATAAGGAAATGGTAATCATAGGTACAGAGCCTTTTGGAATTTGTAAGTTGTTCTAGAACACTATTACACTTGAAGGAATAGGCATGGGACCTCCTGAACTTGCAGGAAAACCAGACACAAGTGTGGGTGACCTGGGGACTTCTCTTGGAGCTAGGGTCTAAAACAGGCACAGCATTCTTGTTGGGGGCCTTGTTTTAACCAGGTGGTTCATGTCAGAATCAAACCATAGGGCACTTGGTCATCACTGGAAAACTACTGTCAGAACACAGACAGGAACAACTTCTTCACGCCTTGCTTTCTAGTTTCTTCTGGACAGAATCAAGTCATGATCAAAGACTTCACTTTTAACTTCCCAACCATCCCATCTGTCTATGAGCATGCTGTAGATCTGACTTCCTCAATGTACAACAAAGAGAACTTTCTGGAAAGAGCAGCTATTTCTTTTAGAGCCAGACACTGACATTTTTGTTATTAAAAACTGGGGCCAGAGAGAAGAAAAGCAGGAATTCAATCCTGTTTTCTTTCCTACAAATGCTCTAAGGGCCAAGCTTATGTTTCCATATAGCTCCACAGTGAGGGCTGGCAAAGACTGGATAAATATTTGTGAAGGTCAGTGGCCTTCAGAACACTTGTTTCTGCAGCTTAGGGGTTGGTACCCTGGGTTCCACATGGAATTATGCTGACCCCTTAGGGATTTTGTTTTTACACATTGACAGACTGTTGAAAAACTTTCCTCTTTCCCCAACCACCCTTGATATTTGTTTACACCAGAGGTCTGAGGAAGGCCATTAAAAAAAAACAATATATGCAGCTAAAATTTAATGAGAATATACCCACTTTCATGGGAGAAAAGAACAGAATACAGCTTTGTCCAAATGGGGTCACCAGTAAAGGGCTGGCAGGGAGGGGAAGATAGAGAGCTAGGGAGAGGGGAAACAAAACAAAACAAAACATGCAAACTCAGAGCCACTTCAGCTTCCAGGCTGTTGACAGGACCACCATGGGCTGCTGTCCGCGGCGTCTGACTCTCAAGAGGCCTGCACACAAATCGGACGGTGTCACTAAAAGTTCAATCTAGAACCCCATCAAGACCCCCAAGTTAGAGCCACCTGGAACAAATCCTCTGCTGTCCACTAGGTTGGAGGACACAAAGGACACCAGGGATGCTGCCTTAGATAACAGAGGCTTGGAGGCAGGTGATACCATTGCTCCTTGTCAAAACCTATATTTGGACCTCAGGATTCCCAGGCAGTCCAGGGGACACAGCTACTATGAAGACCCAGTCTCAGTTTCAAGAGTTTGAAAACAGCAAGGGAAACCTGGTCCTCTAATTGCCCCACACAGTTCTCTGCTACAAGAGAAGAGGGCAGGGCCAGCGAGATGACTCAACAGGAAAAGGCACTTGATGCTAAGCCTGATGACCTGAGTTCAGATACACAAGGTAGAAGGAGAGACCTGACTCCCCTAAGTTGTTTCCTGACCTCCATACATGTAGTCCCCCATAAATAAATTAATGTAATAAATATTATTTTTTTAAGAGAGGAGGGCAGGCCAGGTGTCCAGCAGCCAACCAAAGACAAAGGTGCTTGTCTAGAGACATTAAGCCTCAAACTCAAACACAGCTAGGTTTGGGAGAAAAAAATCCCAAAGGCACAAAAACTATTAAAGATCTTAAAGATCTTAAAGATCAGTTAATTAAGTCTAACAATAATAAAAAACAAAGTCCCGAGGCTGTCTTCTATAACCAGAAGGTAATTCCCTAAGGTACTAACTCCAAACCCCACCATAGGATTTTGGAACTTGGAGTATTTCAGAAGTGTGTTGCCTTTAGCAGAACAGCTCTTCCCTGCCTTTTCTCATGGAAACTGCTGCCACAGAGAAACCTTCACTTAAGACTGGTACTGAAAGGCTCAAACCTTTCCTCCTTCTCATAGACTTTTAAAATATGGGTTTAGAATGGAAGTTGAAATTGGGTTTCATCTCACCATGCAGGTCAGGTGGACATCATGCAAAAAGCTTCAAATGTTCCCTGGAAAATGTGATGAACTTTGAAGACCCAAGCA